CCGCCACCTCCCTCTACACCTCCGGGGAGTACGTAGCAAGCCTAGCTTAAGCTAACTGGCTTCACGCAGTAGCACGGACAACACGAACTTCTCTCTTTTTAGCGTTGTGGCGAAGTCCCGCGTTAGCCCGGAGAAGAACTCTAGCCTTTGGCTAGCTAATCTCCTTGCGCAGCCGTAGGGCTACCAGGGACCTAGCTTACGGGCCTTCTTAGCGAACCTCGGAGCCTTCGGCTCTCCGGTCCTTTTCCTCACTCCTAGCTCTTGGAAGTAGCTAGCCGAGTGTTCGAGGAGACGGCCCAGCACGCGCCACTCTAGCTTCTCCCCCTCCAGGTTCACCCTGAAGTCCGGGGAGAAACTAGCGAAGTTCTCGTTCGTGAGGTCGTCCGCTAGCTGGTTCAGATCCCTGCGGATCCACTGTAGCTGAAGCTCACAGTTCTTAGCGGAGAGTTCCTCTGCTAGCTCCATCAACACCAAGGTCGATGGGAACTTCGTCGTCACAGCCTTCTTCAGTAGCGCTTCGTTGGACTGGTTGTCAGTGTAGCCACGGATGGCCACCTTGGAGGTCTTCTTAGCATCCCCTTCCGGGACCCAGAGCCTCACACCAACCAGAGTAGCCAGTAGCTCCAACGCGGCTATGACCTTGTTCGGGTCTCCTTTAGCGAAGGCCCAGGGGGCCCATTCCTTCTTCACCTCTAGCGAGAACCAGGGACCGTGGCAGCCGTCCACTAGCTCGAGGAAGCCCCCAATCCAGGCACGTCCATTCTCGGCTTTAGCGTCGGTGTAGAAGGAGAGCGGTGCCGCCCCGTCCAATAGCGAGGCCGGCTTCTGGAGACGGCCCCCCCGCTTCCAGGCGGTCTGCTAGCCAGCCACAGAGGACGCGAATCATCGTGGGTAGCGTGAGGAGCCCCAGCTTCCCCTGAACGGCCGAAGAGCAGGCGTGTAGCGGTCCCAGGAAGGGGCGCTCCCAGTCTAGCGCCATGGAAGCGAACCCCAGGCGCCCTAGCCCTTGTGCGAAGGGCCGAGCCTCACACTTCCCATCTCGGACTAGCTTCCGTAGCCATTCCACTAGCCAGTCGGTTCTCTTCTGAGACAGGCCTAGCCTCCAGGTGGAGTACTCCGTTTCCATGCCTAGCCACTCCACCCGAAATCCCCCCCCTCGTCTTGGCCCACTTGAAGGGGTACCCAAGACTAGCGAGGAAGAGATAGCTCAGCGGGATCCCCATGCGTCCTCTAGCCCCTCGGCCCAAGGACTCGAGGTCGTCGGCATAGAGAAGCATGTCTAGCGGGAACGATGGCCCTAGCAGGTGGTATGTGAGTCGAAGCCCACACGCCGCTATGCGGGTCCACCAGTAGCTCGCACATGATAGCCCGAAGGTCCCCACCAGATTAACGTAAACCGTCTGGCTGTCGGGGTCCCCCGGTGTAGCTTCCTCGGTGTCGATCTGACACCCTAGGTAGCTTTGTAGCGTCGGTGGGCTTTAGCGATGTCGCCCACCACGGAGAAGGCCACCTCGTTAGCGTCGATGTGCTCCCGAAGTAGCTGCTTCTTCTCCCTAGCTCCTGGGGCCCGGATCTTGTCCCTGCACTTAATGCGGTGGTTGACCCGGACCCCGTGGGTAGCATCATGGATCATCCTCTTCTTTCCACTAGCTTCGTCCTCGACGATGACAGCTAGCGCGGCGATGGCTCGATGCTCGCCATAGCGGGCTTTGAACTCGCCTAGCGTCATCTTGACCATGAGGCCCTCCGCCACGTCCTCTTCGAACTTCTCCCTAGCGAACTCGCGGTACTCCTCCACCGAGGAGTAGTTCGGGACCCAGGCTAGCGCCGCCTCCCAAGGGGCGTTCTCCAAGGGCCACTTTAGCTGTTCCTCGAAGACGTGGGGAGTGCGTGGTAGCGGCACTCCGGCCTAGCGCCACCCCCCTCCCCCTGGGCAGCGGTAGCAGGGTGCTGGCAGGAGTCCAGAATCAGGGTAGCCAGCCACTGGCACATCCTAGCGGGCCACTTCTCGGAACCTGAGGTCTTGAAGGGGCCCTTAGCGGGGCGCTTGAACATGCGGCCCAAGGTAGCAGCAGAAAGCAGCGGTCCTGTGTAGCAGCCCTTTTTGTCATAGCACGGCAGGCCTTCGTGTACGAAGTCTGGCATAGCAGAAGAGCACTTTAGCAGCAGCCGTGTCGGCTTAGCGTATGGCGTACCAAAACTAGCCTGGTGGAAGGCCACGGTCCGTAGCCCCTTTTGCAGAAGGTCGGCTAGCGGCGGCCACTGCCACATAGAAGCCGGCCGTGTCCCTTGACGCGGGCCCTTAGCGAGGGCCCCAAGGTCCTCGGGCTGCTCCATGGCAAGGAAGGTAGCTGCACCGTCGGCCACGAGGGTAGCGACCTCAAAGCTGAAATCCGCAAAAATGTTGCCCAGGATAGCGCGGTCTCGCTCTGCAGGTGTTAGCGTTTCCAGACCTCGGGGAAACTCGTAGCTGCGCACCGGGCGGGGCCCTTGAAAGTTAGCCCAAGGCGCTCTGGAGAAGCTAGCGCACGGCGGGGAGAGCACCACCGCATCGAACTCCTTGCTAGCGATCCGGTCGAGGTAGCTTTGCCGAATCTTGGGCTGACTGAGGTCGTATTTAGCGTGCCGTAGCAGGTCGACACACTCGACCCTCACGTCTTTCCCGAACTCTGCTGCTAGCTGGTGCAAACACTGCGCCACATCTAGCCGGCGCGAGGTACCCGAGAAGAGGTAGAGCACCCGTAGCGGCTTTGTGTGCGTAGCGGCCGGCTTTGCTGGCGTAGCAGCCAGCGGGTCTGGCGTACCCGGGGGGGTCACAGGCACTGAGGGCGCAGCCGCCGTAGCGGGTCAGTTGGAGGGCTTGTCCTCCTTAGCGGCCTCCGTTTGCTTGGTGGGGCACTTTGTAGCTGGGTGCTTGCCGAAGCATAGCGAGCAAACGTGCTCGAAATGGCACTTGTTGCCATTCTTGCATCCTTTGGCATTGTAGCGGAAGCAGATGGGCTTCCCCTGCGGGGTGCGATCGGCACCCAGGCGCTTCTTAGCTTTGCCCCCCTTGGGGGGGGCGTCTTTGCCTTTGCCCTTCCCCTTGGGGGTCTTAGCAGGTCGCTCCTCCGTCCAGGTCCAGGGCTGCGGCCGCTTAGCATGGAGGGCTAGCGGTGTAGTGAAGTGCCTCTCCTTCACGCTAGCGTCCTTGTAGGCAAGGACTAGCGCAGCGCCGAAGGAATAGCCGGCCGTGGCCATGACCTTGTACGCGTGCTTCCTGATAGCGTGCTCGTAGCTGAGCACCAAGGTCCACGGGGGCACTAGCGACCCCGAGTCGGCACTGGACCGGAGACCATAGCAATAGTCTCCGAGAAGATAGTCTTTGTAGCGCTCGAAGAGGGCCATATAGTGACATCCTGTAGCTCCTCCCGGTTGGGGTGCCTTAGCTGCATCATGATTAGCGTGTTCTGGAGCACCGTGAGCCGCAGCCGTAGCTGCTCCGGCCCAGAAGGCATGGGGGCCCTAGCTCCCCCCTTCTTCATGGATAGCGTGCCATTGCCGTTCCAGACGGGTAGTAGCGTGTCGGGGTCCCACTCGTCCCGGCTGATGACCTCGGTTAGCGGCTCGGCCCGGAACTCGCCAGATTCGAGCTCGCCTAGCTTCTTCTCAAGGTACTCCTTAGCGGGGGTCTGCTTGTCCTCCAGGTCTCCGAACTTAGCGGTGAAGGCCTGGCGCATGGCCATGTAGTCCGTAGCGGGGATGGGCTTTCCCAATAGACCCGGTTAGATAGAAACGGGGAGAATCTCGAATTCATGTAATTCTATAGAATTCAATGAATTAGTTAAGGCGTTTCTCTAAATGTTTTCAATAGATATTTTTCTCTAATTCGATGACCAAGGATGCGCCAAATCTATAGATTTTCAGACACAGCAGTTATCTAAAAATAGTTAGATCTTGCAACCTGGAATAAACTATTTTGGGGGTAAACTGGTTGCCGAATTCGGCAGGATCTGCCGAAATAGTTAAAGAGCAGGCGGTCGAAACTTCCATCAAACTTCCTCGGCCAGGGGTTGAAACTTCCACTGCTTTGTTTTTGGAGGAGCTTGTTTTTTCAAGGAAGGAAACAGACGAGGTTTCTAGCTACATCTTTCTCTTTCTTTGAACATCAGCACAGCGAATAAAGATTTTGTTTTGTCATGACACACACACACACACATACATATACATATACATATACATATACATATACATATACATATACACATACATATACATACATATACATACATATACATACATATACATACATATATACATACATATACATACATATACATACATATACATACATATATACATATATACATATATACATATATACATATATACATATATACATATACATATACATATACATATACATATACATATACATATATATATATATATATATACATACATACACATATATATATATACACACATATACATATACACACACATATATGTGTATATATATATATATATATATATATATCATGTGAATGCATGATATATATAACAATATATACATTCCATTTTGAGTGTGCTTTTTGTTGCTTTTGCGATTACATTATATTTATATATATATATATATATATATACACATGTATATATATATATATGTGTGTGTGTGTACCAAGGAGAGATGCTCTACCTTTGAGGACTTGTACCTGTGGAGAGGGCGAGATATACCGGTGAGGGTTAAGAGAGAGGTCTGGACAAACCACAAGGTGACCGACCTCTTGCAGGCTCGCCGTCTCTGTTTTGCAGGCAGACACAGTCAGAAGTTGCACACAGTGCACTGCTCGTGAGAGGGTCTGTTTGTGTGTGTCTGTGTGAGGGAGGAGAGAGACAAAGCGGGTGCTCGGTGTGTCCCTGTTTGTGGCTGCAGTCTTTTGTAGGTTTTGCTGTACAGTCTATGTAAAGGGCCTCCTTTTGAGGCTTCTGGTAGTGTGAGTAAGCCCTTGGCTTTGAGAATGGCCTCGCCTCGTTTTCGCTTGGTTGCAGACCCAGCTTTGGGTGTGTCCGACTTGGAAGCTTGCCTGAAAGACTTCCACTCCGCCTGCACCGACTCGAAGAAGTCGTTGAACTTTGGCGAGTACCTCAAGCTTCCTCCCGGCTTGACCTGGAAGTCTGCTCCCAATGCGGCACACTTGGCAAAGTTGAGCCCGCTGCTTTGCAAATATGCCGCAATCGCTCCGAACGGAGTTTTGCCTTCAAAGAAGCATAAGATGGCACTCGAGTCAGTCCACAACTCCATCGGCTTGCAGAAGTCGGAGAAGCGAAGCCTCCCGGACTTTCTGGACTTTTGCGACGATACGATTCGGATGGCTCTCAGTCACTGTCGTTCTTTGAAGAATGATCTGGCGAAGGCCAGGCTCTTCAGGAAGGCCGACTCGAGCCAGCAGCGAGCCATCGAGGATGTGCTGTCTTTGTTGACGGGTGTGTCGGCAGAGGCAGTTGCAGAGGAGGCCGTTGAACGAGGCTCAGGCTCCCAGTCCTTGGCTCTGGTTGCAGAGGAGGCCGTTGAACGAGGCTCAGGCTCCCAGTCCTTGGCTCTGGTGCCACAGGGTGTGAGCACCAGCTCTTTGGAAGTGGAAGAGGTGATCACTCCGGGTGCGAAGAAGCTGGCAGAGTCGCAGGGTCTTTGTTCCGAGCTCCAGCAGTTTCAGCAGGTGGAGCCTGCAGCTGTGTTCCAGAGTGTGCTTGGGAAGGAGGATTGGGACGGGTCGCAGGGTGCCTGCTGTGGGGTGGAAGAGGTGAAGACTCCACAGAAGCAGCAGAAGCCTCAGACTGCGAAGCTCGCCGACGGGTCGCCCAAGCTCTTCTTGAAGGGCCTCTTGTCAATCAAGAACATTGGCCCCGAAGAC